ACTGTTTTGCCAATGAGATTATTTTATTTTTAAATTGGCCAATCAGCGATACATGTGTGCAATATGCGATGTGTGCAATCGGAGCCCTCTCCTTTCAACTAATTATTATTCTGGCCGGATCCCACCAAAACTATAGGACTCTTCTCTCTCATCCTCCGTAATGACCGTTATACATTCCTGGATATCTTCAGCGCTGCAGTGCGCATACGCTAAAAGGGGGCTCATCTAACAACACTGGGGCTGCGGTCCATTTGCTTCTTTCAAATGCTCTGAACGTTACGCTCCAAACGCTACGCTCCGATTGGTCCATTACTATTTCGAATCAGGGCCCCTATTCTGTAACTGTTTTACACGCCTATCGACAGTTGTCGGTGTCGTTGCGCAACTTTTTCACCATATAAAATATCTGCGCAACGACACCGATAATTATCGATAGGCGTGTAAGACAGTTACCCCGGATCTACAAAAGGATTTTAAGCATTAAGCCATAAGAAATGGGCGAATCACAGTCGCTTATTCTTCTCGGATTCGACTGTAATTGGTCAGTTTCTTACGGAATAAGGCATAAAACACCTATTGTAGATCCGGACTTACAGAATACAGTTACTGGGGTTACAAACTCCTATTGTTCTCGAGGTACCACGGTTTGCAGCGCCCTCACTGAGTGACAAGGCTCATGGATGAGAACTAGCCTTTCTAGTATGTAAGCGAGTGAGTGAGAGAGCGACTGTGCGAGTGAGATAGATTAACGTCTATACATATGACATGCATGCCGTAAGACCTGTCGTTCAGTGAGGGCGCTGCAAACCGTGGTACATCGAGAACAATAGGAGTTTGTAACACCTGTTTCGAATACTACAATTGCTACGTGAACGCTCCAGCCAACCCAGTGTTGTTAGATGAGCCCCCTTTTAGCGTATGCGCACTGCAGCGCCTGAAGAAATCCAGGAATGTATAACGGCCATTGCGGAGGATGAGAGAGAAGAGTCCTATAGTTTTGGTGGGATCCGGCCAGAATGACAATTAGATGTAAGTAAAATAATATTTATACATATAAAGTAAGGTTTTTGCCAGTCTTCCTTATCCTTGCAACAAATGTTGGTATTCTTTATAATTCTGCCAAATAAAATATTATATCTATTATATAAATTTCTGTTTATTTATTTAGAAATCTTACACCTTTAACATATATTTGCAGTATAACACTAACTTAGATGGACAGTCTTAATTATTGTTATATTACTATTGTTATCAATTATTGGCGTTTTCGGTTTATGTAACTTCATATTATATTATAATCTCGTTACTTCTATTATTGATTTTTTTTACTGATTTTGGTTTTTAATAATAAATAATAATAAATAAAAACAAAAAATGATATAATTTTTACAGAAACGTCAAAATAGGGCCTTAAAGAACCTTTATAAGTTCGACATTAGTACAGCATTGATGCTATACTCCAATGCGCTAAAAGGGGGCTCATCTAACAACACTGAGCCAACCCACCTCCCGAGGTGAGGCAGTTGAAGCGAAGTGGGAGCAAAAACGATAACGTATTGATGACGTAATCAAGGCCCGTCTACAATACACGGAGTAAGAAGTAAGAGTAAGAAATTGACCAATCACAGTCGAGTGTGAGAAAAATAATCGACTGTGATTGGTCAATTTCTTACTCTTACTTCTTACTCTGTGTATTGTAGACGACGCCTTATTGGTCAATTTCTTACTCTTATTTCTTACTCCGTGTATTGTAGACGACGCCTAAGTAATGTTTTAAAACGCTAATACGACCTTCTGATTGGTTCATCACTTCTTAAAGCTGGAAACACAATAGACACAGGAAACAGAGAATAACGAGTCGTCCAATCAGAGCTTTGGAGTATAAATCGATATTATATCCCAGAGCTCTGATTGGACGGCTTGTTATTCCCTGTTGCTTGTGCCTATTGCCTGTGCCTATTGTGTTTTCAGCTTAAGACTGTACTTAATAGCGTTTTCGGCCCGGCCAGGTTTGCACCAACTTGGGTTGGATTAATGGCGTTTTATGCTCTCCTATTGGTAGAGCGGGTGACGTCAACCAATAGGAAAGATTAATCCAACTCAGGTTGGTGCAAACCCGATCGGGCCGAAAACGCTATAAGACAGTCTTGAATATAAGATCTGACTATGAATACTAGCCTTAAGGTGCGATTTCACGCTGACGCTAAACGCTCATTTTCAGCGTCAAAACAGGTCACGTGATCAAAATTGACGCTTGGTATTGACCTGTGACCTGTTTTGACGCTAAAAATGAGCGTCGAGCGTCAGCGTGAAAAGGCACCTTTATTTTGAAGCCGAAAATGAGCGTCGGCATGAAAAGGCACCTTTATTGTTATATGTAGATAAAAAAGAAACGCATTCCTGCCGTACCTATTGGGCACCTTTGTTTTTTTCCCTTATTCGTAGTCGGACTGGTCGGACTGTTCGGACTTCGGAGTAATCGGAGTAATTCGGACTGATTCGGACTTATACGAACTTATATCGTACTGAACCGATAACAACATCATACTATCGATCTGAAAGGATTACGCTCGTCCGGCTCGTCCTTCTTACATCACTTACGTCGGCGTTCACGTTACGCTGCTCCAGATTTTCATGCAGAATACAACGTACAGTACCTGTCATTCCCATTCGGTTTCTCAACACAGTGATATCTCACGGCGTGCAAAACGAGAACGTTTCAGGAAACGAACGGGCGATAACGGGCGATCCGAGATGGCTTGCGAGGCCTGCAATGCAAAGTTCAACCTGTTTAAGAGAAAAGTGAGTGGATACCCTCATCGGGGACACCTGGCCCTTCTCCCTCGCTGAACGACCGGTTCCAAGGACGATCTGACAATTCGACAAACCTTGACAAGTCATGTTTGTCCGGACAATGAATTCGAGCCTTCTTCAAATTGTCATGCAAATGTCACCGTAGAACCAAGTGATGACACAGATTCACTGCGTACTAAATTATTTAGCAATTAACATTTTCTTCTGTTAGGTAATCTAGAAATTTTTTTTATTAAGGACTCCACAGTAATCTGGTTCCAGGAATTTATTTGATCGAACTTTATCTTAATAATTTTTTTCTTAATTAATTTAATTCTTGATTACAAAATTCTGGTTTAATATTTGACATATATATTTATATTCCTTGTATAATTTTTAGAAACAATGCGTGGATTGCCTAAGGTATTTCTGTTCCGAATGTGTAATCAAACGGTACGACAAGGTATTCACCTGCGATAGCTGTGGTCTATTGTCAATGAGGCCACTCATCAGAAATCAGATCAGACAGATACGTTCTAGGGACTTGCGTCAGTATCTTGTGGCAAAAAAAGTTTCTGTTAAGGGTTGTGTCGGTACGTGCGTTAATATGTATAATGCTGCCTGCCAACATGCCTCTCTCTGTAATAATATCTTCTTAATATTAATTTCATAAGAACTTAAAGAATTTTTTTATAAAACTATACTTGAATTTCAGAGAAAGAAGACTTGGTGCATTTACTAATGCTTTTTGCTAACGGAACTGATTCGAGCTTGACTTCTGACCACAGTACAAGCTTCAGGACGCAAAATGTTGCTGAAGAACAACAGTACGTTTTACATTGCACTTTAGACTTAATGAAAAGAACAAACAATAAAAACAGGGAACAACAGCTTTCAACCTATCAATTACATCAAAATACATAATTTCTAATAGGATGAAATCTGTTATTTCCTACTCCTATTACCGGTGCTTTTTAATTGTGTATAATTAGGCTTAACACTTGAATTCTTTGAAAGCCAAGTTTTTTGCCTAATATGAACTTTTTTTATTTTATATATATATAATATAAAATTTATACAAATTATATATTCCTCTTTTAAAAATATTTTTTTAAGTAATATGACTGTTTAGTTCCAGATTTGATCCTCCTTTAAATAGAATGGAAAATATGCCAAATGTTAGTACTGCAAATAATGAACCTGATGCAAACGCGGCGGACGTGCAAGCATCAGCGGAACCTGTAAGAAACGAGGACATTGAAATGGCAGAGGAAGCAAGTGAAAGTAGTCATAGTAGTCCGGTTATTAGTGTTCCACTTAGCAGTGATAGCGAATCACCCGAGGAGAGACCGAAAAATACTGACCTCTTAATAGAAGAAATATTTGGGAATGACAGCAGTCCAACTGGACCCAGTACTGCATCGCAGCCAGTAATCATCGAGCAGGAGGAAGTTCCTGAAACGTCGAATGAAAAAAAATCGGATATGGTCACAGAGATTCCCACGGTATATATGCTTGTAAACAACATTTATGAAATATTTGTATAATGTTTATATTGTATTTTATCTCTATATTTGCAGTGGTCAGATAAGGTGCAATTATCAGATATAAAAGAAGCATCAGAATTAGAGTATCTAAGTATTAAACAATTAAAAAATTTGTTGAGTACAAATCGTGTAGATTATAAAGGCTGCATAGAGAGACCGGATTTACTGAACAAAGTGACCAGATTATGGCAGGAGTATAATCAGTCTAGAAAAGGTAACGTAAAATGTATTATAGGTAACACAGCCGGATAATATTGATATTCATATTAAATATAATGTCAGTTGTTCTTTAGATAGTAAAGAGATATTTATATAGGTATAAAAGATTATTTAATATATTTTATTATGTTCTGTCTGTCTCATTTATCACAAATAAATTATTAAAATTACAGATGTGGAACAACTCAGCCAGGAAGAATTATGTAAAATCTGCTGGGATGCACCGATTGAGTGTGTTATTTTAGAATGCGGTCATATGGCTTGTTGCATAAATTGTGGCAAACAAATGTCTGAATGTCCGATATGCAAACAATATGTTGTCCGTGTTGTACGATTTTTTAAAGCCTAAAAAATGCAACGATTGGATATAATCGCGACTGATAATTTTGTGCACCTGCCAGTTTTCATAGATCGCGTAATTATACGACGTGTATATTATAAAACAAAATTTATCTATGATAAAGAGTAAAATTGTAAAACGCCAAATTTTTGTGCTATAATTTGCATTTCGATAAACAATAAGAACTAGTCCTGCACAAAAAGGCAAATTTTATGCTTTCTTGACTTTCAAGTCTAAGTTGACTGGTCTTGTGGCATGTTTTGTCATTTTAATTACAGAACTCTTCCTAGACAGAGAATAGTATTTCAAAAAAGAATAAATATCGTTATATATCACATGTATTAGTTATATTAATTAAATTAAACTACATATATGTATGTATACATATATACATATATATATGTGTGCGCATGTACATATGAATGTATATTGCAAGGAATATTACTAAGGTGTAATACAAAGTTTTTATATCGTGGAGTTATGTGTATATATATTTGTGCACATCTTATAACGCTCCAATCTCCTGTGATGCTGGAAATTTTGTAAATTCTGTATCGTGCAGAATGTATGTTTTTTATGAAAATAAATAATATATAGATTCTAAATACAGAATTAAAATAAACTAAAGTCTATGGAATTTTTTAAACAATTTTAGTAGTAGTTTAAATTTAATTATATTTCTTTAACTCTTAATACTAATGACAATAATTAAACCATCGATAATTGTAGTATTTATATAGACGTGAGGTCTGTTCGGGCTGTTTGCACTTTTTGCACTCAGTAAATTCGCTTATTCTCTTTCTTCACGTCTGAATATATATTTATTTCATTTTAAAAGTGCAAACATTTTTGGGGATTTCAAGCAACGCGAACAGACCTATGAAGTATTGTGAGGTTTGTTTGCATTGCTTGAAATTACCAAAAATCTTTCCATTTAAAAAGGGATAAACATATATTCAGGCGTTGAGAGAAAACGAAGATGTTAAGTGCAAAAAGTGCAAGCAACGTGAACAGACCAATGAAATAGATTTTCAGCACCATCAGGGGATCGATTCTATATCTTGAAACTAAGTGAAAATTACAAAAGTGAGCGAATTTACTAGAATACTGATAATTTCATTGGTCAACACCTAGTAAATTTGCTTATTTTTGTAATTTTCACCTCGTTTCAAAATACAGAATCGATCTCCAGAACGTTTCGAAACGCATCAATTCAGAGAATTAAAAGCGCGGGAAACAAAACGCATGCGCATCAATATACAGCCTGCAAACACAACATTCTAACCAATTCCAAGCAAATTCCAAACTGTGTTCAATATTAATCTTTTAAATCAATATATTATACTTTATAAACATTGCCAGAAACAGGCTGAATAGTCTTCGTTTGGAGGCAGGAATCAAAACGGAAAAAGATTTTGCATCAAAGAAAAGCTTGTATATGATACAAGACTGATAATCATGGAATTAGAAACAAAAAATAAAATAATTGCTAATTATAATACGTTCTTCTATGCGACCATGTGTCACGTTTGCAAACGGTTTGGCGACGGCGTCTGTTTGAAGAAATGTGGTGGCTGCAAAATGATCGCCTATTGTAATCGACAGCATCAGAAGCAGCATTGGTCGCAGCATAAATCTTTGTGTAAAGCCATACATATATACTTATACCTTTATACAATATTTTTACAGATAGCTTCTTATTAGCCATAAAATTTACAAGAAATCGTAGATATTTACAAATTGACCTATTATTTTGATATATTTTGATATATTTATCACTCTACAACAGATTCTGAATCTTCAGAATGTCTCCGTATTTATAATTTAAAAATCCTAGGGACTATTTCCATTATTTTTACTATATATTACGAGTCAGTTGTACTGTATTAATCGAGTTTTTATATGTATATATAATGGATTATAAATATAGCAGGATATAAGTAAAGGTAATAATATTAAATATAACAACGGTTACTATTTTTGACCAATTTTGTAACAAAAACAAGATTTTTATCAATCGTTTGTAATTAATATATCAAGCGTTTTTGAAATAAAAATCATTTTTTTCTTTCTCGACATTTCTAATTATAGGATCTCTGATATCACGCGTCTGACAGCTGTCTGCGACAGTTGATAACCAAAAGTCAAAACAATGGCAGAGATCGAATGGCCCTGGCAATACAGTTTCCCGCCGTTTTTTACGTGAGTATTATCGCGAGAAATGTGTATTCCAACGAAATTATTAACTTTACTGATAATGGCATATATGTGTTAAAGATTAACAAAATTCAATAAATGTTACTCATAAAATGTCGTTTGATAAGAGCTTGTATATCACAGGTTAGGAACGTAGGTTATACACAAAAAGCGTATTTATGAATCTGGCGATAATACATTTTAAAAATATTCGAATTTTTGCCACATGACTTCACCTTATTCATTGCAGGCTTCAACCTCACGCAGATACTAGAGCTAAACAAATAGCGGCCTGGAAGAGCCTGGTGCTCGAATACTATCGTATCACAAAACAGGCGGTCGTAGATGTGCGCGAGATTCACACAAATCCTCTATTTAATAATACCAGCATAAACAGTATCCTTATTCGTCACATTGAATGAAAATTATTCTATCAATTTTGTTGTATATTATACTTAATGTAATACTCATCCCTGTCATGTATTACCATTTTCAACGATTCAATTACTGGCATTATTTATTAGTCATTTATTACAAAAATTTTTTAGCAAACACCAACAATAATATAACTCATTACAATTTCCTATTCAATAATATAATTGTAATATAACATATAATAGTTGTGTTGTTGAATGGGAAATTAACTGACAGTTACGTTACTATTAAGTGATGTATTCACTAGATTATTACTAAAATTTCCTAATAGCTAATATATATTAATCCAAATAGTTACTCTGCTATATTGAAAGCTTAACAGCATAATAACAGGAAAATTACCGTCCGAAGCTGTACTAGTAATTTTGGAAGAATTAGGAAAATCAGGAAATGCGTCACCCCTAGACAAGACCAAGCAGAGATGGTTGGTTTATTGGCACACTTTAGAGGAATGGGGTGATATAATATATAATTGGGCACAGGAGAATGGCTTCGCTGGCTCTGTATGTACATTCTTCGAATTGACACAAGGGGAGGACACAAGTGAACAAGGTACATTGTACAATTTGTTTTTGTTCTATTTATCGGTATTATTAGAAATAACTATTAATATATAATCATATTGCTTATTTTAGAATTTCACGGTCTGGATACAGAAGTCCTAATCAGGTCACTGAAGACATTAGAAGCTGCAAGAAAGGCAGAGATTATCTCATTCGATGACAATCAAGGTGTTAAATTTTTCTAATGCTTGGAAAGTTTTTGCCATTCGTCGAGTTATAGATATGTGTAAATGGTATTTAATTAATAAGTGATGTAAAAAACTATAACATTTCTCATAAATGCAAACATTTATTTAACACAATAATACACTTTTCTTTTTCTTTTCTTACAAAAAAAAAGGCAAACCAAAATCGCTCGGATGTTAAACTAACATGAAGTACAAATGTGGGAAGGCTTGATGATTTTGAATATGAAATTAATGTAGCCAGTTGAGCTAGTTATATAGCTTTTAAGATAATTATATATGGCACATAAATATACTCGAAATTAGAAAGCACAAAAATTGTGATGGAAATAACTTCCTGTGCCAAAGTCAAGGTGTTAAAATCAGAACAAATTAAATAAACTTAAAATGTATCTACACTTCCCTTGTATAAATTAACTTTTGCATTAAGTGTCAAACTTAAAAAGAGAATGATCATTCTATAAGCGTCTTAATTTAATTAAAAGTACTAATGGTGAATTCGATCACTTGCATTACACTTAATTAGTGCACATTAAAAGCTGCTTTATATAAAGCATCTAAATACAGTGGCATTAAACAATCAACTTTAACAATGAAATAATACAAAAGTATATAAATAACGTGACTATTAAGTATAATATTATTAGTGACATTCCACTGTTTTATAATATTCACATATGCTTTTATATTTAACTTAGCTAATTTCATGTATAGTAGTCTTTGATGTGCACTAATCTAGTATAACGCAAGTGAATGAATTCTACAAGTTCCTACTAAAAGGCACTGTAATCACATCATTCTTATAAATTACTTCGCTTCGGAATTACAATCTTTGGAAACAAAAAAACTAGAACATTTCATTTTGTTTCAAAGTTAATATATTGCGATGTATCTCTTATTTTCGAGTTTCAATGCAAAAAGAAAAGTACAAAAGCTAAACTGGAATTAAAAACTAATATATTTTATAAACATATATACAGCATACTTGCTTGACATTTTTTAATGAATGACAATGCGAAGTAATTAAAGATAAAACGACCATGGACATACTATTTTGTGGAATTTTCTTGAAAATTCGTCGCTTTATTTTGATTAAAGATTAGTTCGCGACTTTTTCAATCAAGCTTTTAGAAAGCAAATTTGATGTTACATGGCGCATGATTTTGCTAGCGAGACCGAGAGAGAAAAACAGGAAGTGATGAGATACGATCGTAAATATGTTCCACTATAAATATGAACATGATCTAAATTGTTATTTACAAGACGATACAACTTCGCTGCGTTTAATTCTCTTTCCCTCTCAGCTCTAGAGGCGTCGTTATTTTCCTCTTGAATAACAAAATATGTGGTTCTGAAATAATTTATTCGATTAGAAATCTTCGAAAGACGCAACATGCAGAGAAATCAAACTAACATAAATATTATATTAATGTTATAATTTCTTACTCAATAATATAACTGTTATGTATATAACATGTGTTATAGTAATTCCTATTGTTGAGTTGAAAATTATAATATTGATGTAATACATTACTATTTGTTCATGCGGGAAATGTTAAGATCAAACTGAGTATGTACCGGGATCATGAATCATATAGTGCACCCATCCTTGACTTTGTTGGATCCCTATAGCTCTCCATTCTTGCTCGGACAGCAAATGAGTTCTCGGCACCAGCTTCACCATTTCTTTTGGTAAAACCACATGCCTATACAAAATTTAAAACATACAAATAGAAAATAGAAATAACAAATACATGAAAAAAGCAAAAATAAGAAATATTTATACAATAATTTTATTTGCCTTATTTATAATTTTTCAAATTCTAATACATATACACCCTTTGACAAAAAAAAATTATTAAATGAACAAGTTGTTTTCTCGATATAGTAATAGATATACTTCAACACATGTAGAATTTTTTTTATCACAGAGCGTATATTAGTTGAGAAGTGAAAAGATTTTTAAGTTTTCACAGACATTTATAAATATATATCTAATAATAATAATTAACCCTCCATTTGTAATGTTTTTTTACTGTTTTAAGCTTTCAAAAAATGTTGAAAAATAAGGATTATTTTTCAGCATTTCTATTACATTATAAAATAGTTTTTCACAAGATATTTTAGGAAGAAAAATCTGAAGGACTTTTCTTTATTTCATATAAATTTGAGAATAAAAAAAAAATTTCACTTATATAAAAAAAACTCAAATTAATAGAGGGTTAATACTAAAACCAATAAAAATTATAAAATTACTTTTTAATTGTATTATAAAATTAGATAAAATTTCCATTCAATTTTATATATTACCCCTAAAAATCAGATATAAATAATAATTCTCGCAAAATATAATTTAATTCATATTCTACGATTTTATATAATTGTTACGTCATCGAATTTTTATTTGATCCTTGCAATGTAGCTTGGACAGAAAAGAAATTTTGAGAGATAATTTTTAATGCGAGCATGCATAAAAAAATCATTTCAATTTTTCTATTATATATTATTACGTCTTTTTTTTACGCACGTCATGTCTCCCGACATTTGTTTTTCTCCTATCGAGAAATTATTCGCGTTAAAATTATCGCGAGGCGTATCTTGCAGAGCAAAATGCGAATACTACAAAGATTCGTACAAATCTAAGCTGAATAATCTTCCCAATTCGAAATGAAACATTGAAAAACCGGTCTTGAACGAGCACTCGTAACTTTCCGAATCGACCATTTTAAACGCTTCGATTCCGAAGCCGGCGAGACGAATGGAAGAAAAAAGAATTGAGTGACAAGGAAGAGAAAAAACATCGAATTGGGCGCAGAAATTTCGCGCAGACGCTCCACGTTCCTACGCAGAATTGCGTAAAAATTGTATGAAAAGAAGACGCCATTATGTCGCACGATCAGGGGGCCTCACGTTTTGGGCAAGAGGCCCCATGTGGGGGACTCGTAAAATGATTGCCTACCTGTACTCGAATTTATCGTCGTAGTACTTGTCGGAATAATAAATGTTGTGCGGCATCGCGTCCTCGGATTCCGCGACGGCGTCAGCGATAACAACTCCGATTCAGAACGCTGGATTCGTTCCAACGACACGGTAAGCTCTCCGAGAAGCCTCCCTCGATCGCGTGCGTACGTACGTACGCTGTCTAATTTGAAAGATCCAACGGATGTGCCAACCGAGCGAACCGAGCGAGCGGAATGGAGGCCGCGGGACGCGGCGAGTCAAGAAAGGATTATTTCGTTCACGAGCTTCTACCTCGTTTTATACTTTTACGTTTCGCCTCGTCGCTGACGACTCGAGAAACGCTGACGACTCGACAGAAATGAATCCGAAAGAAGTATAAATGGATCCAAAACGAGAATAAATCCGACCGGCGTTTTTCCTTCTTTTGTTTTATTCACCGCCGTTGATTCGCGTAGTCTGGAATCAGCTGCGCCGTTCGCGGCAAGATGACACGCGTCTGAAACGTTTGTGACGTTCTTCCGGTTCTCCCTCGGGGGAGGAAAGTGAGGTTAGGTGTCGCAGGGTTGACGATTTATTTCAATTTATTTATTTATCTTTTTACCTTTTTTTTTCCTCTTCGTGATGGAGAAATACTCGCGAGATCGCAGTGGATATAAATCAAGGAAGGAACGTGACGACTACAGAGGTGAAGATCGAGCGTCGCGAAGAACCAGCGATCGCACGGAGCACCGATCCGGAGCAACCGATTCGAAATCGAAACACGATCGCTCCAGGAGAAGATCCAGCGAGAAGCATAAAAAATCGAGAGACGAGTCTCGCTCGCGTCGCGAATCGCGGAAGTCCTCTAAGCGTAAGAATCGAAAGAGGTGGGTCTTTTCAATTCAAATTTTAGAGATCGTAGGTGCTTCCTATTTGCTGGCACAAACAGTCGTTCTATCCTTTTTAGCAGTCAATGAATAACAAAAAAAAAGAATAACGCTTGTCTCGATTGTGTCTCCTGAACGGAAAGCAGCCAGAATGCTTTCTAATTGATGGCCAAGAAGACAAGTGTCGCTGTCTTTAGGTCTGTTCGCGTTGCTTACACTTTGTGCACTTAGCATCTTCGTTTTTTCTCTTTTCCACAATATATATCTATCTCATTTTAAGTTCAAAAATTTTTGGAGATTTCGAACAACGCGAATATTTGAGCGAGCGTTTAGTAATTGTTGCCTGTAATTGAAGTAGACCTTTAGATCCATGCTAAATCTAGAAGAATTAATAGCAGCAAACATTTATTTAACTGTTCCCTGGATATACATGATCTTTTGAAATTGTATATATAGGAATTCTATATATGGTATATATTTTTAATTTAGGGAATCATCTTCACCATCAACATCTTCAGATTCGAGCAAATCCAGCGATGGCTCATCTACGGATTCATCCTCAGACTCCACAAAGTTACTGGAGAAACTTCAGAAGCAACGGCAGAAGCAAGTAGAGGATCGTAAACGACAGAAGGAACTGATGAAGGCGACGGAGACGCCAGAAGAGAAACGTCTGCGTCGCCTGAAGAAGAAGGAAGCCAAGGAACGTAGACGTAAAGAGAGAATGGGTTGGGACAACGACTACTTACATTATACAAATACAGATAATCCATTTGGTGATGGCAATATCCTGTCTACTTTTGTATGGTCGAAAAAGTTGGGGAAGGAGGGCCTACTTGGTGTAGGCAGAGAAGAATTGGAGATTCGTAACAGACATAAACAGGAGGAGACTAAGAGAGAGCTGGAGAAGGTGAAGAAGAGGAGGCAAGAGAGAGAACTAGAACGACAGCAGAGGGAAGAAGAAATGACGATGTTGCAGAGAGGCAAGGAGGCCGCTCAGCTAGAGCAGTGGGCTCGGCAGGAAGATCAGTTCCACCTTGAGCAAGCCAGATTGAGATCTCGCATTAGGATTCAGGATGGCCGTGCGAAACCCATCGATCTTCTCGCGAAATACATAAGTGCGGAGGAAGAGGTTGATGCAGTGGAAATGCACGAGCCGTATACATACTTACGAGGTCTGCATGTGAAAGACTTGGAGGATCTTATAGAGGACATAAAGGTTTATAAAGAATTGGAGAGAGGCAAGAATTTAGATTATTGGAATGACATAACGGTGATCGTGGAGGATGAGTTGCACAAACTCAGAAAATTGGAACGAACAGAATATGAAGTTGGTAAGAGAAATAATTATGGTATTTTTTTTTTCAATACAGATAAGTGAAGGAAGCCATATTTGGTACAAGGTGGTTTTTAACATCTAAATTTTCATGTAAATTCTATAATTCTAGTTCAAACTCAAATTATAAAATTTATACAAAAATATTATTAAGCACCAAATCTTGCTTTAAAAGAATATGATCTTCACTTATTTGTACTGAATATTTCTCAATCGATTTTCACTTAATATTTTTTTTCTCGCCTATTATTCTTGCTTACATCATACTGCATTTTTTTTTAGCTGTTGGTAGAAGAGAAGGAATCCACGAGTCGGTCGCTAAAGATGTCACGGCTATTTTTAAGGGTAAAACTGCAACGCAATTGGAAGCTTTGCAATTGCAGATTCAAGCAAAAATTACAGGCAAGCCAGAAGGTGTTGATATTGGATATTGGGAAAGTCTTTTGTCTCAGTTAAAAGGTAAAACACACATGATATAATTTAAAAATGTGTTTGAAAATTACAAATAATAATAAATAAGAAGAAGCATACAGCCACACAAGATATTTTTTGTCAAAGTTATATATTTAAAATTAAAGATGTGAACGTTTCGGCATTCTTTTATTGTACTGATGATGGCCAAGACTTGGCCGAAACGTTTACATTTGTCATTTTAAATATATGACTTTGACAAAAAATATCTTGCGTGTGGCTGTATGCTCCTTATTTATATATTATGTTATGAGCCATCTCTAATAACTATTATTAAATTTTACAAATAATAATACATGTGATTCATACTAAGTATTAAATACGTAGCTCACATGGCGAGGGCGCGGCTTAGAGATCGACATCAGGAGAACTTGCGTAAAAAATTGGAGGTTCTCATCGCCGAGCAAGGTGTAGCCAGAACGGAAAATGAATCCGAAGGCTCGCAAGCACAGGAGAACGAGTCTACTGTAAGGCAAGATGAACCTTCTTCCAGTACAGCTGTTGAAAAAAATGAAAATAGTCATTCTGAGTAAGTATTCTCTCCCTTATGCCGATTCAGGAAGTCTTTATCTCTTCTTTGCAGGGATAAAATATGTATATAATCATGTCATGTTTCAGTGATGATCAAGAAGAGACAAGCGCCGCTGACGATCTGTTGTCCGAATCCTTCCGCGAGTACGAAACTGGTGGCTACTCGCCAACTTATATACCTTACTCGCAGCTCGAGCCGGGCACACTCGTCACGCAGGAAGACGAGGATAATCAGCGATTAGAGTACGCAAGGCAGCAAGTCCTCAACACTGGCAGAAAAATTCAGAACGTGCTGACGATTGAGGAGCAGGCCATGCACCGGGAGGCACGCAAGGGCATGGGCTCGGACGAGGCGCAGTTCAGTGTCGAATCATCGTTGGAAGCGCAGATCTACTTGTGGTCCGACAAGTACCGACCGCGTAAACCGCGCTACTTCAACCGTGTGCACACAGGTTTCGAGTGGAATAAATACAATCAGACGCATTACGACATGGATAATCCGCCGCCGAAGATCGTACAAGGATATAAATTCAACATTTTCTATCCGGACCTCATCGATAAAAATACCACGCCGGAATACTTTCTTGTAAGATATTTGAATCTTCTTCGGGCACAACTATTGTGAGGTTGGATTCCCCCCTTCCCCCTCCGAATAAAGTTCTAAACTGTATATACTAGTACAGTAAGTTGGTGTGAAACAAACTATATTGGTTTAGTTTACTTATTGCACCACAATGTATACTAGTTCAGAATTTTCTTCAAAAAGGAATAGACTTGTAGTATTCAGTCTACAACACTTGATAATGCATTTTTTCCCGTTTAGAATGCTTGCGCTTTAACAAATTTTTATGGGCCTTCTACAATAAGCCATTAGTCATAAATCAGAAGTTAAAAGCTGAAAATTGTTCAATCATAGTCGTTAATTTCCAGCTTTTAACTTCTGATTTATAACTAATGGCTTATTGTAAAATGGTAATTAGAAATTCTGTGTTTTGTGTAGTTCAATTTTATATAATACCTAATTTATTAAAAGGCAAGCAATCCACTACGGGAAAAAATGTATTGTGTGCCTATAGACTTTAGATTAGCATTGATGATTTATAAATTTTTTAAATAAATTATTTAATTCTGATTTTAATTTTCAGACACCCTGCACTGACAATAAAGATTTCGCCATCCTACGATTTCACGCAGGCCCGCCTTACGAGGACATTGCATTCAAAATTGTCAATCGAGAATGGGAGTACTCATATAAGCGTGGATTTAGATGTCAGTTCCATAACAACATCTTCCAACTATGGTTTCACTTTAAAAGATATAGATATCGTCGTTAACATATGTATATATTGTTATATAACTACAATTTTATAGACTTGTACAGACTTGTGTGTATATATATATATATTACATCGTTCTATTTGTACAATATAGCGAATAATTTTTTTTAATATCATATTTATACAAAAAAGCGAATAAAAAGAGATCTATGATACGCAGTGGGTGTATTATGATAAAATGTACGGCTTTCGCAACTTATAACCGCGCATACTTTTATCGCTTGCTCGTTCGCTTTCGAACGACTTCCGTGTAATGACGAGAACACGCAGCACACACCCGGCGTATAGTCAGTGTTTTAAACGGCGGTCGTTGGATCGATTTTTCCTCTGCCACCTGTGTACTGTCACACAGTCGACCGCACACTCATACATACATATGGAAAGGTAAAAGCTGTACGAAGCTAATGGCAAGGTGAAGCCGAGCTCGCAGTACGCCGCGCAATTCGGTAGCAAAGGGCTGCCGCGTCATCGGGAACTTCGCTTCCGCCTGTGCTCACGCACAATTAAAAATAAACGTGAAATAAATGGACTGCGTATCGACGATCACGGCTGTTATTTGCGCATTCGTGTTATTTCTATGTGCGATTTCTAAAACAAAGGAAGTTCCCGCATTTTAATTTATTGCGGGTACGAGTGACGCAATTACCTCCGGGTACGAGTAACGCAATTACCTCCGGCGTTGTCATTCATTTAATATTATAATTAATCGGGTTTCTCTAACATTCGTTCGAATTGTAGCACAGGCATCGAGACATACCACCTGTTCATCGGACGCGGAAAAACACACGTTTGTGACGTCAATCGCATAACTTAAGTATACGTTCGAAGAAAAGCGATGACCGTTTGTATAGAAAGTATAAAGCGAATTTAGTAGGCATCGAGAAACGTTCCCTTTCCGGCACGAAAGTTCTTCGAGAAGTCACTGATAAGACAGATTACAGAATGATAGAAGTTTCACTTCTAAACGATGAAATTTAAGAAACGAACTTTATCCCTTTAATTGTTTTCGTGTCTTATATCGATATAAAAACGTTGAGGGGTGAACTCGTGGAAGATTTATCGTCGGCAGAAAATATGATTATGCTCGCTTCGTGACGCGAGCAACTCACGAAAGACTTTTATACCCGTGATTTGCGAAGATCACCGATATCGATAAAATCGTCATGAAGTGGAAGAGAGGGCCATGTGAATTTCTGTCGCAGAAAACGTTTCTCATAATAAAGGATGACTTGGATATTTCAAAAGGTAATGTCCATCGTATTTCGTGCTAGCGACATTTTTTTCTAATCCATTTTTCAAACGATTGCATCGATCCAGAAGCAAATCACCCCAGAAGAGGTGATTTCTTTTGTGACTGATTCTTTTAAAAATGTATGGTAGTAATGTGTTAACTCATTGAAAATTAATGTCTTATTTTTGAAATAAAATCTTATTGTGTTACGAATTAAATAATAATAATAAATAGTCTTCTAGTAATTTTCAATAATTTTTTCAGTAATCTTAGCAATTAGATATTAATTTAGTCAGTCGATAATTAATTAACATCAACTAAAAGTAACATAACATTAATGTTCTAATTTCGTACTTAACATGACAAATATATAATACAAGGGATGTTACATAAAAGTTACATTGTGTTCGAAATTATAACATTGATGTTACTTCTAATTGATATTGACTGAGAATTAACTATCTCTAACAATCACAGTATTAATCTGAGATATTTAAAAAACAAAAAGTGTGTATTAAAATCGCTATTATGGTTTTCAATGAGATAAAACCAATCTACGTTTCTGTGTCGATGCTTCCTATCAACAACAGATCATCTCCGTCTAAATAGATCCAACTAAGACGACAAACCGCAAGAAGGCAGCGGCAAAAAATGCAGCGCGTATCGGCACCTGGCCGCCAAAAATGAAGCGCGTACAGGTTTTCTGCGAGAAGGAGCCAGAGAGGCCGAAAACGGCGAATCTTACGAGGCCAAGTGTGCTGGACCCTGCGCTCGTGAATAAGCTTGACATGTCGTTGCTCAGTAAGGAATTGCTCTGCGACTCGATGACGCGTTTCCATCAGAATGGCAAGCCAGTCAGTGGGGGTACGACATCATCATCGTCATCGTCGTCGCTATCATTGCTGTTACCGTCGCCGCCGTCGGCATCACGACGACGCCAGAGCGCCGTCGTCAACATCGCGACGACTACCACCTGGTCGTCTCACGACGCTCCAGTGCGTCGTCAGCGACGGAGCTTCGAACAGATTTACGAGTCGCGGGTCGCAGCGGGTCTAATGGAAGAAATTGACATATCTCGATCGCCTACCGCGACGCAGGAGTTTGTGTCCAAACGAAACTCCGACATCAGAAGGCTCGACGATAACAATAACAAGTCAGTGATGATTAGATTGTAAATTAATCGAGCTAATAATATCCTTTAAATTATAAAAAAATATCATTTAAATTCACAAGAGAAGGGCCAAGTAATACACGCGGATTTTGTCTAACTTTAAATATATTTTAATATTTACCCCCCACTAATTCATTATAGGCAAGTGACACGACTGAATGTCAAGCATTCACAATAAATTTGCGTCGAACATTTTGAAATTTTTTATTAAATTGCGCCGATATCATTCATATAATTACAGGCGTTAAGATATTCGTTAAAAAAAATTATATTATAATTATAAAATAATTTCTACTATACATATATATCTAATTATTATATAAAAAAAGGACGAAAAACTATCGATTCAAATTTCTTGTAAATACTTACATTTTGCGCTATGTCACTTTCTTATGAACTATGACATATTTAAAGTTAAGCAAAGTTTGTATGTATAGATACTACTTGTAGCCTCCCATTGTTAGTTATCAGAAGATTATTAAAATTTGAAAGTCTTGCATATTTTATCTTTGAAAAATATAATTACACCTCATCATGATTACTTATTCTGTTCGCTTTTAAACAATCATGTTTTAATATTTACAAATTCTATTCATGCGATTAGAAACAGTCCTCCTAAAGTGCTATCGATGGTGAAGAAGAAGAACTCGCGGACCGGTCTATCAAATGATCTGGAAATATTCACCTCTGCCTCAAAGACAACAAAAAGTGCGCCAGAGCCTTGCAAGACTTGCGGGCGTCCAGATCAACCGGAGAGATTCCACAGTCATCCTAAGGGCAGTCAGTCCAAAATCAAGGATATCCCATCGCCGATGACGAAATCGAAGCCTACGGTGCCGTCGGTACCAAAGTCCATTCAGAAGCCGGTGGCGTTGAACTTTCGTAGCGACCGGAACAGGAATAAACTGGACGAGGCCGAGAACCCGACCATTCCCCAGAATCATCCTTCTCAGGTCTCGAACCAGCAAAGCAGATCGTTGTCCGCGCCGATGAAACGAGGTCCCAGGAGTGTCACGTGCTACGTGTGCGGTCGGGAATTCGGCACTGTCAGCTTTCCTATACACGAGCCTAAGTGCATGGAGGTAAAGGATGACTTCGACATTATCGCAATATCCTAAAACACAATAATTAATATAATTACTGTTATAACGTAGTACGCGATCCCAGTAAATACCCTCAATGTTACAATATTCGATTCAACAATGTGATTGTTACATGCAACATGTTATATAATGTTTATATTATTGAAGAAATTACATATTGATACAATCTTATTGTTAGTTGGTGTTTACTAAGCTCTATCTTTTACTTCGAATCACTTTTCATCGTAAAAGCTTTTACATATTTTAAGCCTTAAAATAGATAAAGCTTAAAATTAGGGCAGCACGCGACTGACATTTTGAAGAGGCCGTAGAGTCGCCGATAAATTTCTCTTCCCATTTCATCGCGGAAGTAACAGAAGGTTCATAACATAATAGCTCTGCAATGATAGCGCGCATGTAATAAGTCAAGGCCCTTTCGCAAGATCGATGGTGGTATATAACGTTGCGTTGCTTGTACTATTAAACTCGATATCAGATGCATTCGCGTGTAACCGATGTGTCATAGTTGAGCAGAACTATAACGCAGCAATCGGTTGCGGTAATTTGTACGCTCTTAGACAGGGTGTCTTCGACCGACCGACCGCATTTTCCCGTAACGATGGATTATTTAATGAATACTCTATATCCTACATTTGCGCGCACAAGTTTACCGAACGTGATGTTACGCGATTCTTATCTCGCTTTCACATCGCGATCTTTGCGATCGATACGTAAAATTCGCATTTATGCACGCAATCACCCTTAGTTATACGAATATATATATACTTTGAACCAAGAGACATTGGTACAAACGTTATACACCGCAGCAGTGCTAATGTGCTGGAGTATAAAATCGATACAATAGTTGCATGTTGCATGGAAATAATGATTACTGAAATATCTACAAATTGATCTAGATATAAATCTAAAAAAATATTTTTATTGGACAATCAAAAGAATTATGTAAAAAAATTCAAACATGACGAAATAATGCATAAAAATTTTATATTCTAGCAACCAACGAGTGTTCTGTATAATTATTTTGGTTATTAGTTCATATATATATATATTTGATGTACTATAAGATTCGTTAAACATTAGCAATTAGGTTCGTAGCTCTTTCTTTATTTTAATTTTTGGTAGTAATATAATTATTTCAAATGTGTAGCTAAATTTATAGATACTTCAGCAAAACCGTTTTTTACATGTGTATATTATAGAAAGTTGCATATAAATTGTTGGAATTGTTTCTTATTAAAAAAAGAATTTTATCTCTTTAAAATTTTTTTAATAATAATAAAATTGACTGATCTGTTTATTCGTAAAAAATTATTATTGTTTTATTACTTTAGTTTCATAAATTATTATATACTAGAACATCATACCTATATATTTATTTAATAATTCTCTACTATATTTATCCAAGCGAATATCTTTATTACAGAAATGGGAGCGCGAGAATAATTTGCTGCCTCCATCTCAGAGACGGCCCAGACCGCAAAAACCTGAGGTTGGCATCGAGCACAACGATTGGAACGCAGCTGCATGGGAGCAGAGTCAGGTAGATTCTCCGTTATAATTCTAATTAACGATGCAACGTTAACGAAATATACGACGGAGTAGTTATTCTTACGAGATGCGTCGTTTCCGTCTGAGAGAATATTGTTCGCGCTTCGTTAATTTTATCGGACGATGATGCAGTCCTTATTCATCGATGATGCAAGAATCAATTATAGGATGCACATACCGAGCTCTAGGAGCGCCCGGAAAATGTGCCCGGTAAATTAGAAGCAAATGCAAAAAGAATTTATAAAATTGAACACCTTGCCTTAGAAATTAAAGAAAATTAATAAATTCCAATTTAAATCTTGAAAGATTCGTCATGGCTTTATTATTAGAATCGAATTACCAGACATAATAATTTAATAATATGTATCGCGTGCGCGGTCTACGAAGATTTCGTGCTGTTCACGAGTGCGTGATTCTAACATCGAATATTAAAGATTGCTCTTTAACATCTCATATGCATACGACTCGCACGAGCGCATACCAAATAAGAATTGCGTGTCGTGCAGGGAGGGTCTTTGACGATTAACTATCATTTGCGTAAAAAATTAGAAAAAATTGTTCGTCATATACCGAATGATAAATTAGTGATTTTAATGCTCTGTAATTACCAGTGATTCAACTGCCAACATTTGCAAACGTCGATTCGAAGATAAAAAAAAATGTTTTCTTTAACGAATAATTTTTTCAGATCATTTTGCATTTTATTAATTATTTCATTGTTTTGATCAGTGTATTAATTTCTTATTAATCTTCTTTATAGAACACATGATGACACTTTCGTATACAATTAAATGCCAGTAGAGATATACATACACATTTGTCTGTATAATTAAATAAAAATACAAGAACCTGCATTTTTGTAGGAGCAATTAATTCCGTGTGCAAAGTGTGGGAGGACGTTTTTGCCTGAACGATTACCAGTTCATGAGAGAAGCTGCAAAGCCACGCCTAAGGTATTAAATACATTCAGCGATTTCAGGACATTCTACTTTCCCCAAATATCATTTATTCTTCTAGAATAATGAACGACTGGCCACTCCAGCGAATGGGCGTAATGCACCGCCTACCGTTCCTTGTAGTGTTTGTGGGCGAAGATTTGGTACTAGAAGCATAAAGATTCATGAGCCTCAATGCAATAGGCGAGGGCAAGCCCAGAATGATACCAGCCAACAGGAAGATCCAGCTCTTTACAGGCAAAAATCAGCCATTAGTGGACAGGGAAGTTCACAGTCAATGTATCCGGTGAGCTAAAAAATGGAAAACGTACATGCTTTTATCTTTGAATCAACTCGTATCTCTACACATCTTTCGTGCGAATAAATGTTTTCCCTTTGCAGTGAGCTTTTTTAATATTCTCTGACATTTAGAATAAATATTTCTAAATTTCTCTCTCTCTCTCTCTCTCTCTCTCTCTCTCTCTATATATATATATAAACGTTCTTTGTTTTTGAAATAAAAACTGTCTTATTTTACGCGACATTGAATTGTGTCATGTGTGAGATAAAACAGTTTATTATAATTAATATAAACTATTTTAGAATAAAAAAAACAATTAAATGGAATGTTCAGCAATAATAAGAAAAATAAGGAGACACGTTTAAACTGCTTGATTTTAGAATTTGTCGCAAAAGAAAACAGTTACATGTTATATCTGTGGTCGAGATTTCGGATCGTCTAGTATTGCTATTCACGAACCCCAGTGCTTGAAGAAGTGGCATGCCGAAAATGATAAGCTATCGCCGGCTCGAAAAAGAAAGGAGCCGCAAAAACCTGAAATTATATACATACGTAAGTCAATGTTCTCATTTGCATAATACTTGCCCTGCATTTGCTTTATAATGCCTAGCCCTGCATTTGCTTTAAGCGTTCATAAGTTGGTCATTCTATCTTTCTTTCGCGTGTATAAATAAGCGATAAAGATAGTGCTTACAACGCATGAGCGCCCAAAGCAAACTCAAGAAAAGTTACACGGAAATACAATGACAAAAAAATTATTGAAAGGTATTTACAATAACTTAAAAAAAGTTTAATATCCTGAAGTTATGTTAAAGTTATGATTGCAATTTCTATCTTTTAACACTTCGTCAGCAAACTTGGACTTTAAAGGACTTTAAAGTTAATATTTTGATTGTGAATTCTGATAAATTTAAATTTGTGAAAGAGAGATGAGTAAAATATAATCCAAGTTTATGATAGTAAAAATTCGTTGTTAAAACTTTCACAAGTATGCAAGATTTTTTTTAGATTTTTATACAGTCTGAAATAATATAAAAATCTATATTAATAAATATATTGATAAATTTTATTCTCTTTCTCCGCACTTTCTCTTTGTCTAGCACAAAGATATAATCTCATAAAATAATGCATAACGATCAGAATAGATTTTTTCGAAGCTTGTATTTGTCCTTTCGCGCATATTTGTCACTCATGAAGTTCATTCTGAATTCGTTGTCACGGTCAAGAGTACTACGAAGTGAATTAATCAGGTTAAAGCGATTACATGTGTATGTATGAAACATGAAGTAATGTTCGTCATGTTCCCGCCATGGAATGGAAGTGGGTGTAGTCCTGATTAATTATACATGCGTCGCAGATGTATTCTTGATCGGGAGTTTCGCTTACGAATCGATAATCGCTTGACAGAATGCGACGAAAATTTTTTGTCACCCACGTCTCTTGATTTTCCTGTAGGAATAAAAAATATTATTTAAAAGTAAAAATTTAAATTTAAACGATGCCACATATATATTAGCGGTAACTTGCGTTTATAAAATCTTATAACTAAAATGTCCATTTTTATCTATATAGATTAACTTTCATCTAGGTTTAATTTTGAGATCTTTTTCTAATCCTTAAAACTAGAAAAGAGTAAAAAGTAAATTAAATCGAGATTAAAGTTAATCTACATTGATAAAAATAAATGTAAGTTCATTCGATACCAGTTAAAAATAACATCCCAGCAAACACCAACTAACATTAACTTAACTGTTAGTTCTAATTCCCATTCAACAAAGCAATTGTTGTTATATTACAGTTATTGTTAAGAGGGAAATTACAATTACCAATTATGTTAATGTTAGACTGCGTTCCAATATTCGCTGCCAGTACTGAAAATCTATAGCACACATTATGTGCATTATAGATTTTCAGCACTGGCAGTGAATATCGAAATACAGCCTTGCATGTTGTGTTTGCTAAGATAACAAGTTATAATTTCGCAATCACCAAAGTAACTTTATATAATTTATAATTATGTGTTTATTACATTATATAATATTGTTGAGTGCAAAATTATAATATTGATGTTGTTATTTTTAGTTTGTATAGAAGGGATTTACTTCGACAAACAAACAGTAGTAGGATTGTCGATTGAGGCAACAGACAAATCGATTTAGGAATCGAACGTCTCCTTAAAACTTTGCCTACACTTTTCAAGGTACAATACAGTCGGCAATGATGACTTCATTGTTCGCAGAGGATCCCAGCACCGGAAATATGATGGTTGACCAGGCAGCAACAGTCGAGGCCAACTGGATGACACATCTGAGCCAACTGATACCCTGCAAACATTGCGGAAGAACCTTTAATCCCGATCGTGTGAACATTCATGAGAAAAGCTGCAAAGGGAATCGTTAAGAATCTACCAGTTCTCTCTCACCTTAACGTCAGAATATATTATATTAATCAAGTACCGCTTATATTTTTAGAAGTGATCTGTGTTTTTACATGGATATTATAAATAATATCGACTTCTGTAACATAGCGTTCATGTGGAGATTTTTAAGTTTTTTTACTTACAACTTAAAACTCGCTTAAAACTTTACTTTTAAAACTCGCTCCTATTTAGGTTTTTATTAATTACGGATGACGTATTATTGATAATATAATTCGATTTTCTGTTTTGAGGAAGCACTTAATTGGATTGTAAAAGTGAGTGATAATAAAATCAAAGACTATTGCACCTGTCGTGCACTTTGCATAAACGCACGAATGTTGTTAGATGTTACGAATCAGTGCATAATTATAACACAATTTAAGTTTAATTAATTACGCAAATTAATTAATAATTTACTGTATATACGTGTCCCGGAGTTATCATTATTTCGGTTCGCGGATCATCTCGTCAATATTGATCCTAGATGTGTTCTTTGTAGTTATGTTATATTCTACATTTTGTACCTAAAACGAAATACAATTAGACAATCTAGAGAGAAAAGGCAAAGATGAAAAGTACAAAGAATTCAGCTACAAGGAATAAATATTTGAACAAAAAACTCAACGTTTCGAGCGATAATTCGTAATAATGTCTTTGTAATTGATTCGAATGAGTTTTATAAAATAAAGTCCATTTAAAGGAGGAATTTACAAAATGTATTATTACAGCTATCTGATATTGCTTTTTTCAGTTCATTCAGTCTCAATTTGCTAATAAAAGTATTGCAAATTGAAACTACGTTTACACGGCACCCTTAATTGGGTTTAAAACCTATTCTACAATTGCGTAAGCGTAATTGTAAATACTTTATAAACGTTTAAAGTATTCCGCTGCTGATGGAAGAACATTCTGGTAAGTACGCAAGCGTCATTTGAATCGCGTTCCAAAATTTCATTTGATTAATCTCGTACACGCAAGCTGAGATAGGAAGAAATCTGAAGGTATAGGGCTAGTTTCACCAACGCCAGTTTAAGCTTATTCGTCGATTAACTTCATCACCAGAATAGCCAACAGCAAGATTTAAAAATCTGTCTTTCTCTTATTTTTGTTAGTAATGGTGCGGCCACAATAGAAGGAATAAGGAATAAAGATTCCAATCTATCAGGAACCGTATATTCCGGTGTATCCAATATCTGATAGGTTAAAATCTTTATTCCTAATTCCTTATTCCTTTTATTATGGCTGCACCATAATGGTAAAGAAAAAGTATTGTGTGGAGATAATAAGGGCCACTTTCACCATCGTCGGTTTACTTAACCAGCCTAGTAACTGTAATGAAATAGAAAGAGATAGAACTATTTCTATCTCTTTCTATTTCATTGTAGTTACTAGGCTGGTTAAGTTAACTGAGCTTGGTGAAAATGGCCCTAAATAAAATATTGGCCTCGTTTATACTCAGGGTTCGATCCGAGTCGGAATGTAAGATCCAACCAACTGCAGTCGAGCATTCCCTTGTCATTCGACTGTAACAGGGAAATACTCAACTGCAGTTGGTTGGTTCTTGCATTCCGACTCGGAGCAAACCCTGGTTGTAAACTAGGGGTTTGTTCGCGTCGTATGCTCCAATATGTTCCAATATACTCCTACTATAGCTTCTACTCACTCCAACGCGCTTGGTAGAGTGAGTAGGAGCTATAGTAGGAGTATATTGGAGCATGCGACGCGAACAAACCTTAGGCCATTAAAATGTAAATATATTGGATGCACCCAATGGGTGCATTCAGTAGGTACTACGACCACTCACTGAGCCGACTGAGCGCTCAGTGAGCTCTTGTATCTGTTTGGTCTATATTTTTAGATCTATCGGAATATGCCAATCAGATCCAAGAGCTCACTGAGCGGTTGTAGTACTGAATGCACCTAATATGATATTTATAAGGTCTGTTTGCATTGCTTGTACTTTTTGGCACTCGGGGTGCCTTTCTGTCAACAGTACGAATAATTTCCGTTTCCGAAAAATGTGCCCCATGGGGAGCCAGGCTACTTAAAATCAAAGACATAGGCTTAGCTCCAATGAGAAACTAAGGGCAAGACCAATCATATTGAAGAATTTTATTGGGACCTTGAATAAGTTCTCACTGATTTTTTGTAAAAAATAATGCTTTATTTTAAAAAAAAGTCGTAAAAAACATGTCACTGAAAGTATTGTCCACCGCTAGCCACTACTTTTTTCCATCTTTCGGGCAGCATTTGAATTCCACGTCGGAAAAACGATACGTCTTTTGAAGCTATCCAAGAGTCGACCCATTTTTTGACATCATCATAAGAATGAAAGTGCTGCTCAGCCAGCCCATGTTCCATCGATTGGAATAGGTGATAATCGGAAGGGGCAATGTCTGATGAATACGGTGGGTGGGATAGGACTTCCCATTGAAGCGTTTCCAAGTAGGTTTTCACCGATTGTGCAACATGTGACCGTGTGTTGTCATGTTGCAATATCACTTTGTCGTGTCTCTGCTCATATAGCGGTCGTTTTTCCTTCAATGCTCGGCTCAAACGCGTCAATTGTAGTCGATAGCGAGCTTCCGTAATGGTTTCGTTCGGTTTGAGCAGCTCATAATAAACTACACCCAGCTGATCCCACCAAATGCAGAGCAGAAGCTTCGAATTATGGATATTCGGCTTTGCCGACGATGTTGATGCATGGCCGGACTTACCACACGATCGTCTACGCTTAGGGTTATCGTAGTATATCCACTTTTCATCGCCAGTCACGATACGATACAAAAACCTTTTCCTTTTCTGCCGTTGAAGCAGCTGTTCACACGTGAAAAGACGCCGTTCGACGTCTCTCGGCTTCAATTCGTACGGTATCCAATGTCCTTGCTTTTGGATCATTCCTAATAATTTCAAACGTTTCGAAACTATTGTATGATCAACTCTTAATGATTCTGCAAGTTCATCTAGCGTCTGACATGAGTCTTCATGCAGTAATGCCTCCAATTCTTCGTCTTCAAACTTTTTCGGTGTGCCAGAGCATTCTTCATCTTCAACATCAAAATCATTACTTTTGAAGCGTCTAAACCAATCTCTACATGTTGTTTCCGACAGAGCATGGTCGCCGTAAGTCTCAACAATAATTCTGTGTGCTTCAGTTGTAGATTTTTTTTGAATAAAGAAGTGCAGTAAAATTCTCCGCAAATACTCTTTTGTTGGCACGAAACTCGACATGTTTAACACTATGAAATCAAAAGTTATTTACACTTCTTCTTGCAGTTTTCCCTTAATTGGTTTTCCGAATCCAGTATAGAATCACCGTACCATGCAAATCTAACAGATCTAGCTTAGATCCAATGAATAACCTCCTCAGGGAGCAGAGGCAGAGATGCCAATTCTGTTATGGTTTACGACATCGTGATTAGCGCCATCGGTCGGCGGCCTGGCGCAACCGGTAGCACACACTCAAGTACAAGCTCGTGTACGTGTGATTCTGGTAGCAGAAGCCAGCCGACTCGCTCTGTCTTCGTCGCACTACATTAGGTGCGTTCCGTATCGCGCATAATGTGCATGATGCATCCATTGTCCTTGTTTAACATTTGGTGAGCAACAAGGATAAACGATGCATTATGCGCATCATGTGAGAAACGGAACGCACCCTAGGCCTCCAAAGCTGGTTCTACAATAATCGCAGCGCAGCATCGCAAGTGTGTCGCAAGCGTTGCGGTCCAATCAGAGTCGAACTGGCTTGATGTTTATTGGACAGCAACGCTTGCAATGCTGCGATGCGACTAATGTAGAACCAGTTTAATACAGGCTACGGTCCACTTAAAGGCCCGTCTACAATACACGGAGTAAGAAGTAAGAGTAAGAAATTGACCAATCACAGTCGATTATTCTTCTCACATTCGACTGTGATTGGTCTTACTCTTACTTCTTACTCCGTGTATTGTAGACGACGCCTAATGCTACGGGAGGATCCCGTTTTCCTACAGTTCTGATTGTACACACCACTCATATCAACTGGTGCCTAGTAATTTTTTACTGTTTTGCCAATGAGATTATTTTATTTTTAAATTGGCCAATCAGCGATACATGTGTGCAATATGCGATATGTGCAATCGGAGCCCTCCCTTTCGAAGCGTTTGTAGCGCCAAGTGAACCGCACCAACAGTGAATTTTCTCATCGCGGTACTTTGTTAATCTAGTGACTTTACTGTATGGGCATAGTTCCCGACTCGCATCATTGAACGCAGCCAAAGTCATCTATTCGGCGGGAAACAGTAGAACAACGGACTAGAACATGCTAGAACGTAGTAAAACGTAGCGAGGAGAGGCAAGCGTTATTGTGCGTGATCGTCAAGATTTGGAACTTTTTTGCGAAAGCTCTCTGTTTCGATAAGAAATTGATAGACTCTTACGGCCGTGCTGATAATAATAAACCGCAATCATGTACAATTTAACGGAAGGAGCATTGGAGGTAAGTCTTTCGAAGTTTCTATATATTGCGCTGTTTAACATTAAGACTTTATTGTTTCAGAAAATCATGCGAGACATAGATGTCCCTAACCCAGTTCTTCAAGTATTGGTGAGTGCGGAAATAATTTGACAGAATCTGATCAGTTATATCTTTGCGAATCGAAATTGTTTATTTTGAAAACATGACTTTTATTCCTAGCAACATCCAGGTTAGGGAAGTGACGCTGCTCCTGTTGCTTTTATTTGGATTATAAATTGAAAAATATAAAGTTTGTCATACTTTGATGTGACATGTGTCATGAGTCTGTTATGTTAAACTCATTTTTATTGTCAAACATTAACTTTTATTATGTGTGACGGGTCATTTGTATTCTGGGTTAATTTTCGTTGTTTAAAAAAAAATTAATTCTATACATATATTTCGAAGAAAAGAAATGTATAGGATATGATTGACCAAGTCGTATGTACAAAAGGTTAAGCTCTTTCGCAGTACTTTTATAGCAAGGATTCTGTCTTGTAGCTTTTTAGGAAATAGAGTTTTAAATAATGTGCGTAATTTTGCAGAGTTACAAGAAACTGCCAAGAAATGCAAATAAAGATGGTTCTGGTAATGATCGATTCAGATTGCTGATATCTGATGGACAGAAGTTAAACTCATTTACAATGTTGTCCGCTCAATTGAACGATCTGATCACAAAGAATATTTTGAATGATTATGCGATCTGCGAAATAACTAAGTATTTCATGAGCTCAGTGTACAACAACGGCGAATACAAGTACTATTTCATCTTCTTATTTATACATTTAAGTATATAAATAATTCAAGCATCAAATTTTATTCTATTAGACGCGTTATGTTGATATTGGATATGGAAGTATTGGTTTCTGGCGATCAAGTCGGAAACAAAATAGGTAATCCGACTAATATAGAAATGAAGCCATAGCTTGAATCTACGTCTACGTCTACATCTAAGGCCACAACTGCACATTACCAAAGTAAGTATATTGTTGATGTGTGTCAACTGTATTTAGAATAAATTATCAATTAATTTGGATTTGTAATACTTTGGTATGTAACAAAATTTTTGTTATTTATAGATGGTTCAACCAGAAATGGTACTTCAAATAATCAAGCCTCTTCTGACATATACACTATGCCAATCGCAGCATTAAGCCCTTACCAAAACAAGTGAGAGAGAGAGAGTTCTATGTAAACTATGGATCTGTTTTTTATTCTTGCATTCAACTCTACATTAAAACTTTCTTTCCTTAGCCAAACATTAAATATAACTTATTTGAAATTTTATGCTAATTCAAGTATAGAAAACAGACGTATTTCCAGATGACAAAATATACTTTAATATTTATAAGTAAAGGACTCTTAAAATTCAAAATGTAATAATTGGAAACAGGGCTAATAAGAGTCGTATATAAATTATAAATAAACTAAGAAATGATTAACCCATTCCAGTTTATAATTATCCAGTAAACAAAAAAAAAGTTCGTTTGAAATATAAATTGTACAATTCTAATTATAAGTATAACATGTTTCGGTTCTACGTTTGAACCATCTTCAGATACATTATAAATTAAATTATTAAACTTCTGGTGCAACACACATACTATAACATGGAAATCATAAATAACATATAGAATGCTGTTAAGGACGCTTATCTTCATTCCAAAGCCTCATGCTGTTCGTCAGTGAATACATATTCAAATATCAAAAAGACTGATTGGTCATTTGCGTTTGAAATGAATCTAAATGTTAACAGATTAAAATATACTTTATACATATGTGATGTTGAAGAAAAAAGAATAATGATAATATGTGTTTATATATAGATGGGTGATTAAGGTTCGTGTGACGATCCATTCTTCGATAACGTGATTGTGAATTTCTTATCAAAGTTCTTATCTGGATCGTCGATAGTTCTTTTCTCATTTTTTTGGTTTAGACAAGACGATGAATCCCGCGAAAGATCGAGCGAAGGAATCGAGTCGGGACGACGTATTTAATACTTAAATGGTTTATTATTTGCCAAGAAGTAAAATACACAGGCATTTGTTATAATGATACTGCCGAGGAGTAAAACTTTTTTTTCCTTTTTTAATACGACGGTATCGTAAATAACATCTAGCGACATTATATTCGGTACTAAAAAGAGAGAAGCTGGTCTCGTGTCCCGTCTTTTTCCCTGCTTACATCAGTAACCTTACAATTTATAAATGCGTTTCCCATGCGCCGCGATCCTCATTCTCGTCCTCGTCAGTCTTACATTCGTCGTCGTTCTACTGTATGTACGAATAGCACGAATGCCTCGAAGATAGCCCTCCATCACACCTTGCACGTTTGCACGGTGGTCCCAAGTACATTTGTCTCTCGCACTCGTACAAGTACACGAGGAGGTGGCTCGCATCTCCACGCACATTTCCTTTTTTCTTTTTTTTTCCAGATACTTCAAAGTATCATCGAGACTTTGAAGTAATAACTAAGAAAGAAAAAATATTGTTTAGTTAATATAAGAGTATATTATTGAAACGTGCAGATTCTGGCTCCGATCGGATGTAAAAGTTGGATTCGATCTCGTGCCACAGCATCAATTCCCAAAAATTTTACGCCTGTAGTCGCAAATGAGGCCGCATATCACATTGCCGGCAGTTCCGCTGAAGCTCTTTCGATCTCCTTTAATGTTATTAACTGTCGATGCGGTTAGTTATGTCAAGGTACGTAATTGTCGCTTAGGAGATATGGAATTGTTTCCGTATTCGTATACAGAGTGCCTCCGGATCTGTCGACCGTCTCTCCGGCTGAAGGTCTCGTTCTAATTTCAGATAATCATCCGCGTTATTATTGACTCGTCAATTTTTACCTGACGTGTCTCGAAACGAATGAATATCCTGGATATTCCGAAGCGAAAACGACTAGTAAATCGATGAGTTATTTAAGACTGATCCTGAAATGAACTTGATCCAAAATGATTAAATACTAATTCTAGGACTAATTCTGCTGCAAAGTAAATTCTTTCATCTTATCCTTGAGACCAAATTTACCGAGAAATTTTCATTGAAATGAAATAATTTCAAATATTAAGAATTGCTTCAAGCGCAAGATTGTATTCAAAGCAAACGTTTTCACTTCTTCAGCCTGATACTGTGGCTAAGCACTTTCGACAGCCCCAGGACACTCTGCGCTTTTACAAAGAGCATGATTTTTATCTTATATTCCGGGTTTCCTCCATTCCTCACGCGCTCTTCATCCCTCACATCGTTACTCTCATTCGCGTAAGATCTCTCTCTCTCTCTCTCTCTCTCGCTCTCTCTCTCTCACACTCTCTCGCAACGCACATACGCACTCTTTTACATTTTTTACCTTATCCTTTTCACTCCGTTAGTTTTATTTTTCTTTAATCGTCGTCTCCTTTATACACAAATATAAAAATTCTTGCGTAAAATTAAATATTTACATATAAGTTTTAAAACCATTTACAATCGATAGGTAAAAGGATAAGTAACAAATATTGTTCATGGAGATATCACGCTTAAAAGCGTGTAAAAAATATTGTCCGCGAAAACATCACGCCTAAATAGGAAAAGAATAAGCGTGTAAAAAGTTAATTAGGTTTAATTTGTACGCTCGAGATCCTTAATAATCCTTAGAGATCCTTCCCATCCTCCTTACCTTCACATATACATAAACATACACAGGGAAATACAAAAAATACATTTTATAATGTAAAAGAAATGTAATTTTTTATATTCCCCTCCTGACGGAAGAGACCACCACCTTCTCGCGGTTTCCGTCGAGCAACAATATGTACGTTATTTAAAATAAATGTCCAAAACAAATGTAGAATAATTGTTTGACAATTAACGTTTAAGTGATATCTAAAGAGTGTTACAATTTATTTTTTATTATAACATACTTCTTAAATGAAAAGACGTACATGCTGGCCAAGAGTGGATACTGTCATATTTACAAATTGTAATTTAACATATTTCGTTCAAGTATGCATCATAATATTATCTAAAATGTCTAACTTTATTCTGATTAATATGTAAGATATATAGGAAAGAGGGAGATAGAAAAAAAGAGATTTTGATAATAACATCGCGCGTCGCGTCGACAAACCGAGATTCATGAGAATACGCGAAAACGCGAGAGTGATCATCATGTGGATTATATACCGCATTTGTAAATGTCAAACGTAATTATCCGATGTGACAATAAATAAAATGTGTAGATAGTACGTTGTTGAAAGCCTTTATATTTTATGTAATTTTACAATAATTTTTTATTTGCTTATTAAAAAGCGAATCGGTTTCTTCCTACAGTTATTGCTCGAAAATTACACATATCAGAGTAGTATATGATTACTACATTTATTAAAAATTAAGTTGCGTGCATGAGTGCGTGCATGAGCGCGTGTGTGCGTGCGCGGGCGTGTGTGTATGCTACAATGGCTGCGTTCAGTAGAGAAAGCAGGTTTGCAACTGTTGTAAAATTCTTCAATATGATTAGTCTTGCCTTTAGTTCCTCATTGGATTTAAATGATCGACATCTAGAATGGACCGCTGATGGCAATGGTGGGGGTAGAAAGACGATTAGAGTGAGAGGCAGGAATAATAGGATTGTTCTTTCTCTGTTTACTGAAGCCTGATTGGTTGTTGTTAAATCCAACAACCAATCAGGCTAGTTAGAAACAACAGTAAACAGAGAAAGAACGATCTTATTATTCCTGCCTCTCACTCTAATCGTCTTTCTACCCCCGCCATTGCCATCAGCGGTCCATTCTAGATGTCGATGATCTAAATGTATAAGGTCAGTTTCCACCAACGCAGATTATCTTTAATCTCGGTTCAACTTACTCTTTGTCTTTTTTTAGTTCTAAAGATTAGAAAAAGACGAAGAGTAAGTTGAACCGAGATTAAAGTTAATCTATATTGGTGGAAATGGGCATAAATCAATCATATTCAAGAATTTTACACAGTTGCAAAGCTGCTTTTTCTACTGAACGCAGCCTATGTCTTTGCTTAAAATCGGAACGGAACGATGTTGATTGGTTGCCCCTACCACTTCACTTTTCCGATTCCGTGGACCGATTCCGTTTTCCGTGCCATGTACTGGATTCACACTGTATCCGATTTTCGTCATACGACGCTCTTCAATAAAAAAACGGAATTCCGATGATATGAAGCAATATCCATCGGAATCCTGTTTTCTGATTGATTGCAGAGCGTCGTACGACGCAAATCGGATGCAGTGTGAATTCAGCAATGGAACGGCACCCTGAGATATATCCACATAACTTGCACAGCCGCATAAACGTATGCATAAAGAAAATTATCCAATCACATTTTATGTACGACTTTAAAAGAGAACTGTAATTGGATAATTTTCTTTATGTATATGTTTATGCGGCTATGCAAGTTGTGTGGATGTACCCTAAGTGCCAAAAAGTTCAAGCAATGCAAACAGACCTTATAAATATCGGCCTATGAATACCGGCCAAAATCTGAAGTGACGTGCGCGCGCAACTTGACGCGTATTGGACGCGCGTTACTGCCGGTGCGCAGAAGCGCGCCCCGCCGCAACGCGGCGCTCCCTTCACGCAAGAGGCGACATTTGGACAGGCGGCAGATAGCTTGTTCTTTCCGAGGGAGTCCGCCATAGTTGGTGCACGTATAATTTGGACCAGGCCGTCGACAATCGGACAACATCCACGATGGTACGTAACCGCGTTGCAACGCTTTTGCAGCGATCTTTGGCCACGCATCACCGCGCTCGAGCTATCGTCAATATTTTTCGCGGAATATCCTTTGCGGCCGAGCACGCCGAGGCTTCGTTTCGTGATATCCTCCCCTCCTGCCCCGCGTGTACCGCATTCGTAGTCGCTCTTTCTGCATCTCGCTACAACAACGCGATTACTCCGGATTGCGCAACTCTATCCGCGCGATATCCATTCTGAGTTTCGGATCCACGATGGCCCGGATCCGGATCGTTGACCACGAGATGGAACGAGATATCACCAGGGGGACACGAACTCGAGAAATTCCACCGTCGCGGCATCCTTACAAGCGGAAATATATCTCGCAACGTGTCATGGTGCATCTCGCGTGGCTGCCGACACGCAACGTGCTCGGGTGGGGGGGAAGGGCCAACGCTTTTCCGAGGTCCTTTGTTGGCTCGATCACGACTCGACGCTTCCGGGATCGAGAATCTGCGCATAGAAAAATGTATTGGCTGTTGAGCATGTCTGGAAAGTCGTTGCAGTACGTCTCGAACGGAAGAAATATGTTGCGCTCGCAACGTGGTAGGTCTCGCATGCTTCTCAATGC